AATTTATTTAAAAGACATCATATGATATATTCTCCTACTATTAGAAACTTTAAAAAGTATATTTCCACTTTCTGTTGACTTAAAAATTATGAAAAAGAAAAAAAAGAAATATTGATCCTTATAGATAAGAAAAAGGAATATGAATTCATTTTCTGTGAAAGTCATCCTAAAGACACAAAATAATATGAGCTCAATCATACTTAGAAAATCGATTCTGACATCAGTGTGGAGAATGGTAACTAGAGCCCAGGGAAGGAGCCCTGTGTACAGTGTACTCATGTAGGTGACTGTAGCGGCTGCACATCATTGAGCCCCTCTACCTTCCTCCATTTCTATGAATGAGAAAATATATCTCTGGTATATATGTTATACTAAAAAAGGAAAGGTGGTCTTTCAATGAGTAATGAATAATACAGACAGCCCAAGGACCAAATATCTGATTCAAGTCCATGTGCACTTCGAGTTGCAATTTCTGGTGAAATGTAATTAGGAGTACCACATAATGTATAGTGCTTTTCATGTGGCATTTGCAACTGAGTTGCCAGCCCAGAATTAGCAATCTTGATATTCATATTATGATTAAATAAAAGATTAGAAAGTGTGAGGTCCTGGTGTAGTATACCATGGGAATGAAGATACAATAATCCTGTGATGATCTGGTGCATGAAATGTCGAGCTTCATTTTCAGAGAAAGGCTTCATTCTGTTCTTTAGATACTTGTTCATTTATCCATTATGATGCATTTTTAACACCAGGTAGACAATTGTTATCTTCAAAATAGTTTTAAAGCTCTAAGATGGATGGGTGCTTCAATTGGCAATGTATTTTTACTTCATTTTGGACTCACTGTACCATTCCAGATTTGTACATGGCTTTTTATTGATTATTTTTATTGCAACTTCCAAGCCAATATGAATGGACTCAGCTCTGTAGCCATCAGCAAGTGATTCTTAGAGAACCAAGCAGATTTCCAACTTTAAAATCTTCAGTCTTCTTACCAATGCAGGTTTCTGTGTTTCCAGGCACAGCAGGTGCTCCTGGAAAGAGCTCTCTTCATGCAGTCCCTTAGCGGTAGTGCTTCAAGTTGTCAGCCTGTCCTGGTGCCCATCAGGCTTTTCTCTTTAGGCTGCAGTTCCAGGAGAGAATGTCAGAGCTACCAAGAGGTCTCCTTGATGCCTTGCAAGGCCTGGGTAGTGCCTCTGCACTATCATTTTGAAAAACTCCCACAGGTTGCTGTTCTGTACCCAGGGCACACATGCATGCCAGGTCCTCTGAAGAGGCACCTGAGTCTGGGTGTTGGGCCATCAAACCTAGTGCAGCAGCCTGGGCTTGGAGTAGTGGTGTCTGCATTTCTTTAATTTGTTCTGGAACTTATTACTTCCTTTCTATTCACACCTTTGTATCCAATGACCAATAGTTTCGTCATCCACATCAGCCTCTGATAACCACAATTTTACTCTCTGCTTCTATCATTTCAATCTTTCAAATTTTACATATATGGTAGATCGTATAGTACTTGTCCTCTGAGAGAGAGAGAGAGAGAGAGAGAGAGAGAGAGAGAGAGAGAGAGAGAGACCACAATAATCTCTTAGTAGAAAAAATTCCCTGGGAAGAGATTTCTTAACTCAGTTTGGGGTAGGTGTTGAATTCTAGACTCAGTGTCTTATAGATCAACATTTGCCAACCCAATGCAACTCATAAAAGATGGATATACAAAACCATGGGCAGAAGACTGTGAAACACATTGTACAAAGAAGGGAAGTCTGACATGGTGGTGTGCATCTGTGATTGTGGCCCTCCAGGAAGCAGAGGCAGAAAGATTGTAAGTTTGAGCCCAGCCTGTGCTACATAGTGACTTAAACACACTCTGTCTCAAAATAAATACCTCGGATAATGAAAAAGGATCAATATGTACCAATGTATTAATTTGTGTCATGAACAAATATACTGAGAAAAATAAAAGGGATAGGGATGTAGCACATACAAAAGCCCTGGAGTCAATCCCCAATACCATTAGAAAAGATGAGAAGGGATAAAGGAGGAAGTGCCTTGAAATGAACTATTTGGAAGGCACTAGCTTTCCACAGCAGCTAAAAACAGTGCTCTCCTTAGTTTCTATCAAATAATCAGAATTGACACATGATACAATTTTTTAGGGGAGCTTTTCTTAGGGGAGGTTTCTTTTTTGTTTTAGGTGCCATGAACTGAACCCAGGGCTTCCAGCTTGCTAGGGGAGCATTGTACTGCTGAACCAAATCCCCAGCCCATGATACATTTTTTTTAAAATCTATGTCTTGTCCTCCTTCCTCTACCAATAGAGGAAATAGTTGTGGTAGCCTTATTTATAAAGTAGTGGTTAAAAGGGAAGGTATTCATATCTGTCCAAGTTGCTTCCCAATTACTGCCCTTGTAACTCTTTTCTGCTCATGTCCATTAAAACTTGGCCTTATCTTGCAGATGAACTCAGTAAAGTGAATGCATTCTTAAGGACCATTTTCTAGACATTGTAGAACAGTTTTTTTAATTTTAATTTTTATTTTTATTTTTTGGTGGAACTGGGGATTGAACTCAGGCCCTTGCGCTTGCCAGGGAAGCGCTTATTCAGCTGAGCCATCTCCCAGGCCCCACAGAACTGTTTGTTCATAAAGAAATTACCCTTGAGAGGGACATGGCAGATAGAAAAGTAAGGCAGCTTGGAGGTGTCACCAAGAAAGCCTGTCTGGGCAATTTAGGTAAGCTTATGCGTACTAGTTAGGTTAAGAAGCTGGATTTTGTCAGAGATAGTTAGAGGTCAGTAGTCTCACAGGCATGCACACATGCTAACGAAGTCAAAAGCATAAGAGGTAGGTACACAAAGTGCAAAGTCTAGTTTATTTATTTTTACAGACAATTTTAACTTCAGTCCTTATGCCAGCTGCTCAGGCCAGACCTGAAAGGGAAGCTAAGCAGTAATAGAACTTGGTTTAGGAAGTAAAAAATGAGAACTAGGGGAACTCTGAATGCATCTGCCTTTCACCTCTATAGCCCCACCCCAGGAGATATGTCAGAGAGTGGGATGAAATACTCATATTTGTACTTGAGAATGAGTTCTGGACCAGCTGAGCAGCACACTAAGAGCTGCCACTTCTTTGTCTTACTTTCTGGATTTCCACACTAACCTCTCCTTTGGTTAACACTTCTGTCTTCAGTTTCATATTACCAAGCAGTGAGTTAACAACATTACCTCAACTATTGTTCTGAGAAAGGAACATTGTTCAGCAAGGTGACAAGAGTTAAACATATATTTTCCTTGGTCAACATCAAGTTAAATAAATTTCTTTTTCACAGGACATGAGAGAGCCTTTAGTGAACCAACAGACATTATACCTTTCCAAAAGAAAGCTAGAAAGTGCTAATTGATTTGAGCACTTAATGTTATTTTTTAAAAGACATGATGCTAAGTGGAATAAATTAGGCACAGAAAAATAAATATTGCACATGATCTCCCTTATATGGGGAATCTAAGAAGTGGAGGAAATGGAGCGGTGTTAACCAAAGGGTATAAAGTTTCAGTTGGACAGGAGGGATATTATATAGCACAGTGACAAGATTCAATAATAAAGTATTGTATACTTTGAAGTTTCTAAAGGACAATACTTTAAAATGATGAAAATGTGAGGTTATGGAAATGTTAGCTAGGTTAATTTATTTTAATCATCCCACAGTATATACATATATGAAAACAGCACAAGCAATTGTACCATATAAATATATAAACAATTATCAATTAAAAATTAAAAAAAATTAGATGTGAGAAGATATTAGTTTCCCATTGCTGATGTTTCAAATGAGCACAAGCTCAGTGCCTTAAAAACCCACAAATTTAGCCAGGTTTGGTGGTGTATCCCTATAATCGTATCACTTGGGAGGCTGAGGCAGGAGGATCACTGCAAATTCAAGACCAGCTTGGGCTACAAAGTGAGCTCAAGGCCAGCCTGAACTGCACCGTGAAACTCTGTCTCAAAAAATAAAAATAAAACACTGCATAAATTTATCTTTTGTGTCTGTAGTTCAGAAGTTCTAAAATCAATGTATTAGCAGAGCTGTGTAGCTGTGTTCTTTCTAGAGACTCCAGGGGGGGGACTCTATTTCCTTGGTCTTTCTAACCTCTAGAGACACCACCACATGATTGGGTCACAAGACCTCTCTTCATCTTCAAAGCCAGCACCATAGCATTTTCAAATTCCCCTCCCCCATCACATTTCCTGCATCTCCCTTACATGGATGCTTGAAATCACATTGGTTTCAGTGTGATAATCCAGGGTAATACCTTATCCCATGAATTTTAATCACACCAACAAAATCCTTTTTTCCATATAGTGTCAACTGAATAAAGGTGATTAGGATGTGTATGTTTTTTGTGCAGTGGGAAATCATTATTTTATCTAATGCAGGGAAGAAATGGGAAACACTGAACTATAGTTTTAAACGTGCTAATGTACTAATATTAATATGAGATTCTTCCAGGTTCAAATTTGATCCAAGTTGGGAGTTCCTGACATATCTCAGCTATTTGTTTAAAGGTTAGAATGGGCTTCAACAGATCTGACAGAATCTGCAGAGGGTATTTACAAGATCTAATGCACACTACTGAGGGTGGTGCAGTGGCACAAGCTCCAGCATGAGGAAGGGATTTTCCCCAAGGGCCTTTCTCAGAAACACTGCTGTGAGAGAGACCAAAGTCACTCAGAAGAATTCCATAGCAGTGGATTAAAGTTAAATGTTTAATTGAAAGTAGAGATAACATATCATTTGAAATGGAAATTAGAGTTCTAGAATGTCATAAATGACTATTACCATCCTGGGAAATCCTCTGTTGACTTATGAACAAGAAAGTAAGACTGAAAGTGAATGACATTTCCATGCCGTCAATGTCTTCATGCTCTGTTTGAAGAAGCAGACACCCAGAGCTCTTGGCTTTTGTGCACAGAAAATGTAATTCCTTCTTTCTTCTCATAAGAATATATAACTTTAGTTCATGAAGATGGTGATAATAACTCTTAACTTTGAAACAGTCTCTGCTAGGTATGGGATCTCCAAAGCCGACTGCATCACCAGAACACAAACTTAAAATCAGACCAGGGCTAATTGAGATTCCATTAAATAGAATGACAATTACTAAGTAAATCCATTACTAAGAATGACAGTTTCAGACTAAATACCCAACTGTCAAAAATTCCAGGCCAAAGACAAGAAACATAAATTGTTGAGAAACAATTCCTCATGTGCTTTTTGGTCTGCTTGGAAAATTACAGAACAGCGCTTCCCCAGTTTTTAAGGCCTCAGAAGACAAATATTAGAGATAATCTTTGAGATTATCTCTAATATTAGAGATAATTAGAGATTATCTTTGTCTTCTGAGGCCTTAAAAACTGGGGATCTTTTTCTTGAAAATCTCCCTAGCACTTTCTCTCCTTCCCTTTTTTTCTTATCACTGACACTAACTGCTCTTTGTAAGTTTTATCTTATTTGGGGTTTCATGACTGAGCTTTCTACTGTTTTATTTCTAACTTTCTGACCACACTTGTGTCTTACTTCCTGATTCCTCTTTTCCCTTCTTCACTTTTTTTTTGTTTTGGTAATGGGAATCAAACTCAGGACCTTGAACTTGCCAGGCAGGTTCTGTGCTGCTCAGCTAAATCCCCAGCCCTTCTTTACTTTTAACTGTGATTCTCCTGAAGACACAAACCTTGACATTCTCCTTTTTGTTTTCTTTGTGTGCTCTTTCCTCCATCCATATATCCATTAAATGTTTTTTAAATGTTTAAATATTTATTTATATTTGGAGACCTATATATGGTCTAGAGAAAAAAATGTATTAGGGGGCTGGGGAGGTGGCTCAGTGGAATAAGCCCTTCCCTGGCAAGCACAAGGGCCTGAGTTCAATCCCTGGTTCCACAAAAAAAATGCATTGAGATAATCTTTGTTTTCTGAGGCCTTAAAAACTGGGGAAGGAGACAGAAAATCAATGAAAATATATTGTAATAGTTGGCATGAA